AGATCCAAGGTCCTCACAGTTTTCCTCCTCCTCCTCCTCTTCCTCCTCCTCCTCACAACCCCCCCAACACTGATGATGTTCCCCAGTTGGGTAACGAAATGTCTGCAAGCAAACCACCAAACTCAGAGAGCACCAAGGAACCCATAGTCCTTCTCAACTCCTCCTCCTCCTCCTCCTCCTCCTCCTCCTCCTCCTCCTCGCAAACCCCACTCCCTTCTAACACTGATGATGTTCCCTAGTTGGGTCATGAAACGTCTGCAAGAAAACCACCAAGCTCTGAGAGCACCAAGGACCCTACAATCCTCCTCCTCCTCCTCCTCCTCCTCCAACCTTTTTCCCTTCTAGCATGGACGATGTTCCCCAGTTGGGTCACGAAACGTCTGCAAGACCAACCACCCAGCAGCTCAGGGATCCCCAAGGAACCCCAGCTCATTCCAACCCTGAGCTACAAAGATTCTCCTTGACTGGTCATCACCTTTTTCAGTTTTTTAGTTTTGATGTCCACCTCCTGCTGTAAGGAGCTGTAGGTCTCCTTCAGCTCCAGGGTCTCTTCATCCCGGCTTTCCATCTGCTGTTGGATTTCTCGCTCCCGTCGTTTCTGCAGGACACATCAAGGTGTTGGCGTTCATTTCAAGCTTCTCCGTTCACTGACCTACTAGGCCTTCCCGTTCTTGTGAGAGCGCCCTTCATAGGGGGGGGGGACTCTCAACTTGGCTGAAGCATTAACCCCTCTCCCAAGGGCAGACTTATAGCCTCTTTAATCCCACAGTAAATATGTCATGCCTCCCTCGGAGCCTGAATCTGCGGAGGAAAATGAGCTGGAAGGGGACCCCATGGAGGCAGAGGGAGAGGTGTCTTGTGGCTTCGGAGGAATGTGGGGAAGAGCAGGCCGAGGCAGGCCAGGGCCCTTCAGGAGTGGGACAGGAGGAACAGGAGAGGCAGAGTTCAGGTGATGAGCAAGGGCCACCCCCTCCTGATCCTAGAGCAGACATGTCAAACACAAGGCCCGGGGGCCGGATGCGGCCCGCGAAGTGGTTTCATGTGGCCCGCGAAGCCATCCTGGAAACAGTGAGGGAACGGCCCCCGTTGCCTTGGCCCTGGCCCAGGCCGGCCGGGAGCCAATGTACAATTTTGTGGTGGCCATCTATGCTGAAACGCATTCAGTCTCCTTCTGCCCTGGTACCCATCATGAACAACCTGGCTAAGGAGAGCAAGCATAGCAGCAGCAGAAGCCTTGAGGAGGAGGTCAGTGCAGCTGGGCGCCCCCTTGGGGAAGTGGGGCTGGGTTTGGTGCCACGAGTGCTCGAGGGCCAGGCTGGGCATTTGACCTCTGCTGCTCAGGGCTCCGGGCAGCCTGCACCACCATCCAGCCCCCCCCACGCATGGCCAGTGAGGTTCCTCCAGTGGACCATGCCTTGGCACTTGCCCCGGTCCCACCCCCTTCTGCCAGAGACCCTCAGATCTGTCCCACTCCTGCCCAGGCCCCCACAGGCACCATTGACGAGAACGATGTAGAGCTGGCCATGCCCACCCAGTAGGCCACACCCATTCCCTCCACACCCACCCAGTAGGCTGCACCCACCCTGCCCCCTGAGGGCAACCACAATGCTGATGCAGCCCTCAGTGAAATTGAGTTTGACACCCCTGTCCTAGAGCTTGAAGAGTGGAGAGAAAGAGGGAACAACACAGGCAGGCTCAACTACTCGAGAGGAGAGCGTCCCACCCCTCTGCACAAGGTGCACCTGGAGACCAAGACTTAAGGAGACGCTGCGGGGAGAGGCATTTGTCGGGAACAAACGCTGATTCCTTGGAGTGTTATGTGTGTTGTTGCTGATCTCTTGTTCTGTGACTTCTGCTTGGAAACCCAGACACTCTGACCACTGGACTGGCTGACAACGTTGCTTGGATGTTTACAGCTCTCGGACTGTATTTTGGCTTCCCTTTTGAAACTGCGAAGGCAAGCGTGTATTCACACAGACTGGTTAGGTTTATGATGTATGTGTCATTCCTTGTTATCTCCGTGGCCTTGAGTAAATTCCTCTCCTAATCAGACTGCATGTGAAACTACTGGCAGCCAGAGGCGGCTGGAGGTGTGTGTGTCTTCCTGTGTTTGGAGGCTTGCCAGAAACGTGGGAGCGTCTGGGGAAAATTTGGAGCAATTAAAGGGCAGTTTGAATTGCCAGCTGGCTGCACTGCTGTGGGAGCATTTGGGGAAAATTTGGAGCAATTAAAGGGCAGTTTGAATTGCCAGCTGACTGCACTGCCTCGGTGCTGCGCCCTGGGTCATCACAATATCAATGAATTAAAAGTTATGAAGTCCACGAGTTCGGGAACCCGTTTGACTCTCACACTCTAACTTAAAAACGATAACTGCTGATTCTCAAAAGAGACCGACTGATTATACAGTACAGGAATTTTAATCAGAGGAAAAAATAGAAGGAAGTAAAGATGGACTGCGGTTTATGACGGTTTTTGCTGGAAACAGGCACTCTTCCAGTTTCCAGCCCAAAAAAGGTCCACTGGGTATAATGGGTCCACTTAAAACGACTGCCTTGTTCGCTTAACGACCACGCTGTCCATTTAACCACCCAAAAAAAGTTAATAAGATCAGGCAGGGTCACACAGTGACCCGCTTTACGGCCTCCGTAGCTTGCGACCTTAATTCCTGCCTCAGTTAAACTCGTTAAGTCGGGGACCGCCCGTAGTTTTCACACACTTGTGAAAGACCTTTGCTTGGGAAATATTCTCAGGGGCCTTTGTCCAGGTAGGAAAGAGGAGGCCCTTGGTCTGCAGGTGAACAGCAAAATGAAAGATGTGGGGGGGAAAATGGGCGGTTCTGCCCTTCTCTCACCTGCTCGGCAATCTCTTGCCGCTTCTGTTCCAGAATTTTCTGCTGCTCGTTGGTGTGGTCCACAATGTTCTTCCCGCCAACAAGAAGCTTGCTCTCCATGGCCTTAGAAACGAAAAATGAAGGAGCACCGGGGGAGAAATTTCATAAAATTAGAACGTTGCAGATAGCATCCTGGTCTCACAACTGCAATTCCAGTCAACTTAAAAGTTTAATATCTATATCTGTATCCATCCATCCATCCATCCATCCATCCATCTATCTATCTATCTATCTATCATCTATTTCTCTCTCTATTCACCCACACACCCTTACCCATCCATCCATATCTATCTATCTATCTATCTATCTATCTATCTATCTATCTATCTATCTATCTATCTATCTATCTATCTATCTATCTCTATCTATCTATCTATCTATCTATCTATCTATCTATCTATCTATCTCTATCTATCTATCTATCTATCTATCTATATCTATCTCTATCTCTATCTCTGTATCTCTGTCTCTATCTATCTATCTATCTATCTATCTATCTCTATCTCTATCTCTATCTCTGTATCTCTGTCTCTATCTATCTATCTATCTATCTATCTATCTATCTATCTATCTATCTATCTATATCTATCTATCTATCTATCTATCTATCTATCTATATCTCTAATATCTGTCTGTCTGTCTGTCTGTCTGTCTGTCTGTCTGTCTCTCTCTCTCTCTCTCTATCTATCTATCTATCTATCTATCATCTATTTCTCTCTATTCACCCACACCCACTCACCCATCCATCCATCCATCTCTATCTATCTATCTATCTATCTATCTATCTATCTATCTATCTATCTATCTATCTATCTATCTATCTATCTATTCTAATCTATCTAATCTATCTATCTATATCTATCTATCTCTCTATCTATATATCTCTCTATCTCTATCTCTGTATCTCTGTCTCTATCTATCTATCTATCTATCTATCTATCTATCTCTATATCTATATCTATCTATCTATCTATCTATCTATCTATCTATCTATCTATCTATCTATCTATCTATCTCTCTAATATCTGTCTGTCTGTCTGTCTGTCTCTATCATCTATCTATCTATCTATCTATCTATCTATCTATCTATCTATCTATATCTATCTCTATCTATCTATCTATCTATCTATCTATCTATCTATCTATCTATCTATCTATCTATCTATCTATCTATCTATCTAATCATCATTATGCTGGTTAATGACCAATAAAAATATACTGTTTGGTATAAAAGACATCTTACCTTGATTTTGGCCCCCAGCTTTTCAGCCGCTTCTTTCTCACGTTTCAAGTCCTCCATCTTCTTCTCCTTCTCCTTCAGCAGCCTCATCTTGTCGCCGGCGACCAAGCTGTGGTCCTCCAGGATGGCCTTCTTCTCTACCTCCAGCTTCTCCTGCTGCTCTTTCCAGTAGTCATCTTTGTCCACCCTTCCCTCTTCTCCACCCTCCTCCTCTTCCTCCTCCTCCTCCTCCTCTTCCTCCTCCTCCTCCTCCCCGATCCCGCCATCTCTCCTCCTCTCCTTCTTCTTCTTTTTGACGATGGACCTTTTCTCCAGCTGGGCCTTCAGGCGAGCAATTTCTTCTTGGAATTCCCGCAGGAGAGCATCCTTGGGGTCTTCGTTGACTCTGGGCTTGTTCTTGATGTTCTTGGCCCGGTTGGCGTACCGCAAGGTGGTCAAGGTTTCCTCCACGTTGTAGGAGGCCGGGCCGATGTTGGCCACCATTACCGTCTTGGCGTTGCCGCCCAAGGAATCCTGGAGCAGGCGGGTCAGCTTCGAGTCTCGGTAGGGAATGTGGGTGCTTTTGCCGTCCACGAGGGCCGATATGACGTTGCCCAAGGCGGAGAGAGAGAGGTTGATCTTGGTGGCTTCTTTCAACCTCTCGCCCTGGGCTCCCGTCTTGGACTGGCGCTCACTGCCCGCCAGGTCCACCAGGTTCAGCTTCCCGACGCGGATGTGGTTCTCCCCGTCCAGCCCAACCTCGCTGCACTCAATGGTGATGACGAAAATGGCGTGGGAGCGGGAACTGTGCTCGTTCATGTTGGTGGCGCCCACCGACCGGTTCTGGTTGCCGACGTTCATCACGTGCTCGATTTCTTTCACGCTTTTGGTGACAAAGGAGGAGAGGTCTTTGACGTAGACGCCCGTGTCGGGCCGCTCCTTCAGCTCCAGCCTCTTGGATTGGTCCTTGGAGAGCAAGTCCCTGATCTCCTCTTGGTAGATCTCCAAGTAGGAGGCCCTCACCAGATACTGCTGGTTCTGCGACCGAGAGATGTGGGTGAAGACGTGGTCGAAGGAGTTGGGGATGACCCCTCTTTTCTCGGGGTCCCCACGCACCCCTTCCATGGTGTAGGTTTTCCCTGTCCCAGTTTGCCCGTAGGCGAAAATGGTCCCGTTGAAGCCCTGGAGAACCGAGTCCACCAGAGGCCGGAAAGTCTCATCGTAAAGCTCAAACTGTTTGGAGCTCCAGTCGTAAACAGAGTCGAAGGTGAACGTCTTTGGAAGCTCGTGAGATGTTCCCCGGGGGTTCTTGACCGAGACTTGCCCCAGTTTCACGTCCACTTCCACCACTTGCTCATAGGAAGCCACTTTCTCCTTGCCATTCATTGGCCGGCATCGTACGACAACTCTGACCGTCTCCGAGCACTTTAACTTCAACATGACAACAGATTAGCCCGGGGACCAAAGGAACGGATGACGGGATCGCGAACAGCAAGGATCCTTCTAATCCTGCAAATAATGGAGTGCAACAACAGAACGTAAGTGCTCGGACTCCGTAATAGCTAGCATAGCAAGCAGAAGTTCATATTCTACCGTATTCACACTTAACATCCTAGATCAGGGGTGTCTAACCTTGGCAACTTTAAGACTTTTAGTCTCCAGTTAGGGGACTGGAGTCTAAAACGTATAAGAAATGGCTGCTGGAATTGGGTATGTCTAGTTTAACGAAGAGAAAGACGAGGGGGGACATGATAGCAGTCTTCCAGTATCTCAGGGGCTGCCCCAAAGAAGAGGGAGTCAAGCTCTTCTCCAAAGCGCCTGAAGGCAGGACAAGAAACAACGGATGGAAACTCATCAAGGAGAGAAGCAACCTGGAACTAAGGAGAAACTTCCTGACAGTGAGAACAATTAACCAGTGGAACAACCTGCCTCCAGAAGCGGTGAAGGCTCCAACACTGGAAGTTTTTAAGAAGAGACTGGACAGCCATTTGTCCGAAATGGTATAGGGTTTTCTGCCGGAGCAGCGGGTTGGACTAGATGACCTCCAAGGTCCTTCCAACTTTATTATTATTATTATTATTATGGATCATTGCACACTCAGCCAGATGTTCAGACTGGATTTGGCATTTTGTCTACCTATCGAGTCCTTCCGAAGGACCTGGGATAGGCAGATGTGGATGTTTGATGGTATTACAGATCTCGTCACAGGATGGAAGCAGTTCCTAGTAAGGCCGCCTTTTGCAATTGATCCCTTCCAACTTTATTATTATTATAAAAAGTGTTAGAACTGAGCAATTTTTGATTCAAGAGGAAGCTGCCTTGGAGCAGAAAACTCCCTCTGGGTGACCTTGTCAGGTCCCTGTCGTTTTCTTGGCTGCAAAACCAACCGCTGTGCTATTATTGCGTTCTCCCACCCAGGACATATTTTTCCACCAATTTCCTAGCTCTAGCCTACATCTGGACACATTTCTGGCAGAAACCCGGTCTATTTTTGGTTTTTTTAAGTCAGCGAAGGTGAGTCAGACACTACGACAGTGAAGCTGGCCAATTTTGGGCTCACCTTCTGGGGATGTTGTCGTCCTTCAGCATGGGGACTCTTTACGTCTTAGCCCTCTGCAATCTCTCGTGTTCTCCAGAGGTGTTTGTGACTTGGTGTTTCATAACTTCCGTAAAGGGGCACAACGGAACTGATGGCTGATACATTGCCCGGATCCTCATCTAGACTATTCAATTCAATCAGAATAGAGCTGGAAGGGACCTTGGAGGTCTTCTAGTCCAGCCCCGTTCAAGCAGGAGACCCTATACTATTTCAGACAAATGGCTGTCCAGTCTCTTCTTAAAAACCTCCAGTGATGAAACACCCACAATTTCTGAAGGCGAGGAGTTCCACTGGTTAATTGTCCTCACTGTTAGGAAGTTTCTCCTTAATTCCAGGTTGCTTCTCTCCTTGGTCAGTTTCCATCCATTGTTTGTTGTCTTGACTTCTGGTGCTTTGGAAAATAAATTGACCCCCCTCTTCTTTGTGGCAGCCCCTCAAATACTGGAATATTGCTATCATGTCCCCCTCTGGTCCTTCTTTTCTCTAGACTGGCCATACCCAAGTCCTGCAACCGTTCTTCGTATGTTTTAGTCTCCAGGCCTAAAACATAGGAAGTTGTAGGATTTGGGTATGGCCAGTCTAGAGAAAAGAAAGACTACTGCAACACACACTACATGGAGCCGCCCTTTAAAAGTATCTGGAGGCTTCAACTGGTTAAAAATGCAGTTCTGTGCCAAGTCAATAATAATAATAATAATAATAATAATAATAATAATAATAATAATAATAATAATAATAATAATAATAATAAGAAGAAGAAGAAGAAGAAGAAGAAGAAGAAGAAGAAGAAGAAGAAGAAGAAGAAGAAGAAGAAGAAGAAGAAGAAGAAGAAGAAGAAGAAGAAGAAGAAGAAGAAGATGCAAGACGATCGCACAGACTGACTACAAGCAGCAGCATGACAAAGTAGCAACAATGGTACATTGGAAGAGCTGCAAGAAATATCATTTGCCTGCAAGCAAGGACTGGTGGGATCATAAAATAGAGAAAGTCATAGAAAATGATAAAGTTAAACTGCTCTGGGACTTCAGAATTCAAACAGACAAGCACCTGCAACATAACACCCCAGACTTAACAATTGTGGATAAGAAAGACAAAAAAGTCTGGTTAGTGGACGTGGCAGTGCCTGGAGACAGCAGAATAGATGAGGAAGAACTGGAGAAGATAACAAAATACAAAGACCTACAAATAGAAATAGAAAGACTGTGGCAAAGGCAAGCAAGGGTGGTACCAATAGTAATAGGCGCCTTGGGTGCAATCCCAAAACAACTGGAGCACCACTTGAGCACCATCATCGGCATTGACAAATTCGCCATTAGTCAATTGCAAAAGGCGGCCTTGCCAGGAACTGCTTCCATCCTGCGATGATATCTGTAATACCATCAAACATCCACATCTGCCCATCCCAGGTCCTTGGGAAGGACTCGATAGGTAGACAAAAATGCCAAATCCAGTCTGAACATCTGGCTGACTGTGCGATGGTTAATAATAATAACAATAATAATAATAATAATAATCATCATCATCATCATCATCATCATCATCATCATCATCATCATCATCATCATCTCCTCCTCCTTCTTCTCCTTCTCCTTCTTCTCCTCCTCCTCCTCATTATTATTATTATTATTATTATTATTATTATTATTATTATTATTATTATTATTATTATTATTATTATTATTATTATTATTATTATTATTATTATTATTATTATTATTATTATTATTATTATTATTATTATTTACATTAAAGAAGTTAAGGTCTCCTCGCCTAAGGAGATCCATCTGGTAGGACCAAGAAGAAGGACCTTCTCTGTGGTGGCCCCCTCCATGTGGAACATCATCCCCGGGAAGATAAAATTGGCCCATCCTGACACCCGTTCAAAAGACCCCGAAGACGTGGTTTTGCCAGCAGGCCTGGGGAACCCCAGGGAGACACGGAGCCCATCAAGCGACTGGCCTGATTGTTGTTGCCAGGGGTTGTGGGGCCACCTTGGGTTTTGTGTTGGGGTTTTATGTCTGTAAGCCTCCCGGAGTCCCCGTGAGTAAGCTGGGCAGCCGTCCGCATTTCCTTAATAAATGAATCTACAGAACTGCCATAACCAAACTTTTAGCCAGTTTGACATCAGCAAGTTACAGAAAAGGAGACTTATTTACTCTGACCGTCCTTCTGGAAATAAGCACTGACAAAGAGATGCTTCTTTTTGCGGCACCAAATAAACATTTTACGCAGAGAATAGCCTGCCCTATGGTCCAGCATAGCATGCACCCCCAACTAAGGCCACAGTAAGGCCACATCTGGAATGCCGCATCCAGTTTTGGTCACTGCATTACAAAAAAGATGTGGAGACTCTGGAAAAAGGGCAAAGAAGTGCAACTAACACGATGAAAGGCCTGGAAAGTCAAAAAATACGAAGAACAGCTGCAGGATTTGGGTTTGGCTAATCTAGAGAAAAGAAGGACGAGGGGGGACATGATAGCAGGGTTCCAGTATTTGAGAGGCTGCCACAAAGAAGAGGGGGGGGTCAACTTATTTTCCCAAGCACCGGAAGGCAAGACAAGAAACAATGGATGGAAACTCATCAAGGAGACAAGCAACCTGGAATTAAGGAGAAACGTATTAACAGTGAGAACAATTAACCAGTGGAACGGCTTGCCACCAGATGTTGTGGGTGCTTCATCACTAGAGATTTTTAAGACAAGACTGCACAGCCACTTGTCTGAGATGGTGTAGGGTCTCCTGCTTGAGCAGGGGGCTGGTCTAGAAGACCTCCAAGGTCCCTTCCAGCTCTAGTCTGATTGAATACCCCTGCAAACAGGCCTTGCACAAAAACACCATAATAGCCTGTCACAAACGTTTTAGAAAGTGCTACCCAGAAACAGCACTTAACCTTATAAAAGCCAAGGCCATCTGGCCCAGATCCCAAACGGATTCTAATCCATTAGCTGAAAGCTCCAGACTGCATTTTTCAACTGGCTGCCGGTCTAAAACACAGAAGCCATTCAAATCTTGCTTTCTTGGAATATAGAAGATGACGTTGTGTCTAAAAACCAAGTCCTGCTTGACGCTGGAAGCAGAATAGAATAGAATAGAATAGAATAGAATAGAATAGAATAGAATAGAATAGAATAGAATAGGAAATAGAATAGGAAGTAGAATAGGAAATAGAATAGGAAATAGAATAGGAAATAAAATAGAATAGAATGGAATAGAATAAGAAATAGAATAGGAAATAGAATAGAATAGAATAAGAAATAGAATAGGAAGTAGAATAGGAAATAGAATAGAAAATAGAAGGACTTCCGGTGGCAGGCGACTTCGTCGGTCGCAGCTGTTTGCTGCCTCCCGCCTGTTTCGCGTAAAAGCCGGTTTGACAGCCAGCACCAGCTGTCAAACGGCTTGATACCTTTCCCCTGGGCATAAGGGGATAGGTGAGCTGCCCGGGGTAGGAGTTGAGTTCCCGAGTCGTCCTATATGGACGATGTAGGTGAGA